ACTCCATCCCAACACACACACACACACACACACACACACACACACACACATGCAGATGGGAAACTTATAAAAAACCAATGCACACCCTGCCCCTTTGTCTCAGAAATTTATCCAGACACCTCCTACTTGCACAATCCCATCGCGCCTTTCTCTCAGCCTTTTTGGTTCTTCTAATTCATGGCTTCTATTTATTTCTGTCCATCCTTTCCTGTTATCAACCCCACTCTGCAGATTATCAAACTTATTTCCACATGCTGGGATTCTAAGACTTCCCTTCTCCTCTCGAACCCTTAAAGGTTTTCTCCCAACTGGTCCCTCAATTTCCAATCTCCTCTTCAAGACAACAAAACGACAACCATAACAATCAGCCAATGTTGATAGAATGCAATGGGCCAGACACTGTCTTAAATGCTTAATTCACTCAACCCTTATCTTCATATTGGGTCCCCCATTTACAGAGGAGGCAAGTGCAGGACAGAGATGGAGTGTCACGCACTAGGTCACAGCGTGCAAATTGACAGAGCTGGAATTTGAACTCAGGTTGTGTCTTCCAACCGCCACCTCTGTCTGTACAGCCAGCCTGAAGGGACTTTCTAGAATTCTGCTTCTATCCCTTCACTCCTGGAGACATCAACATAAGCCAATGGGCAATAGGAAGACAAATTATTAACACTAACATTTGAGGTCCAGCACCAACCGATTTCGCCTTGACTGCCCTTGCCTTGGCCGGCCAACCTCACCCGGCATTGTGATAAAGGGCTCGTGTTGGGAAATAATTGGCCCTTCTCCAGGCCATGCCTCTCTATGCTTAAACTTATGTACTTGCCAAGTTTTTCTGTGCTTATCCCACTTCCTTCCCATCCACCATTCCAAATACTCAGTTGAAGTACTAACTATCCTGTGATTGACAAGCTAACTGGAAATGCTGGCCTGCTAGGATTGCCCCTTCATCTCAATTCCTGTTGGAGTTTCTGTGAGACGATATGGTGTGAGTTGACTGGTCAGTTACTCTTGCACACATCCACTTGCTGTGTAAGCCTGGCCACACCTAAGGAAGGTAAGAGTCTTGCCTCGATCATATAGACTCCACTTACATTTTATGTATCCTATAAATGTTATATGATATACAAAATTTAAGTAATATCTATATGATGAGACTCTTATTTATATACATAGAAGTATATATGTGTGTCTATACTTTTCTTTTTTTCAATGACCTCCAGCCAGAGACCACCGGAAACACACCAATGGTAAGCAAGTTGGACTGAATTGCTCTCTGAAATAAAAGAGAATGTATATCATGGGGAACTGTAGGGACCAAAATAGTATTAGGAAGATTTGAGCTTTTAATAGGTGATGGTGGGGGGTTCAAGGAAGTGGGGCTTTGTTCTGAATTGGGTCCTATAAGTGGAGGCAGTTCTATAACAGCCACCTTAATAGGGCCTATCTAAAAGGAAAGAAGACCAGCTCATGGTTAAAATTGTAATTGGTAGAAGCAGTAGCCACATGTATTAACTGAAGGGAATATGTGGTATTTTTGTGGTTGGTATGGTGACCTTGCTTTTGTCTGTTCATAGACAAGATGACATGGTCTTGTTGGTGTCTTGATCCATCACAGTCACACAATGATCTTGACTGAAATTGGCATTTTGTGAAATTAGTGACCTTCACCAGGAGAACACCACCGCCTAGCTGTGAGTGCCAGGCCAGGTCCTCACGGCCTCACCAATAAATTTTCGATGTTGGGGACCACATGTGCCTAAAAGACAAAAAAAACGGCTACAAAAGGAATCAGAACCAAACTATTGTGGATGAAGCAGGAGCCTTTGCAGGCTCTCCACAAACGCATTCTGAGTGGACAAACATTTGTCCAGCATTCATATTCCATGACTTGCGATGGCTTTTGTTCTAGGTCAACTTAGGGGAAGCTGGAACTCTGCAGAGTTCCCTTCCTTGTATGATTCAGGGGAGAGCAGGTGCAAGAGGAACTTACACGAGATTTGAAGAGGGGAGTGAAGCGGCTGTCTCCATGCTCTGAAAGCTGGTAGTGCCAGTCGCTGGGACAGTTCATGTACAACATCACTGATTCCCCAGCTCACCTTGCTGGGGGGGACAGAACCCAGGGGCACAGCAACTCCAGCACCTGCTGGAAATCCCCTTCTGGCTTCTCCAAGTGTCCCGGATCAGGTGTGTGTACAGCTCCATGTAAGGGGTGCCAGCTTCTCCTGCAGGTGCTTGAGATTGGGGACAGCAAGGGAGAATGTGGGCTTCCCTTCATCCTGGAGCTCACAGCTTGTCCTTGCTCTGCCCACTTCCCAGTCAGCTTCCTGGCCCTATTGACTTCAGGTTCAACACCAGATGCTAAGGCAGCAGCCTCCCACGGACTTCCCCACTGCTGCTGCCCATAACTGTATGTGGTCATTACAACCCCTTATTCTATATGACTTTTAGTAGTTCTGGTTTTCTGAAAAAGTCCTGACTGATGGACCACTCCAGATTCCTGGCTGAAAATGAGAATCTCATCCTTAGAGCTAGGATGCAAGGGCCAGCCTTGTTGTAAAGAGATGCATGACATTTCGATGGCCCCAGATGTGGCCAAGGAACAGGCTGCTGTCTGACTCTCTTGTCCTGACCTGGAGTTCTAGGTCAGTGTGGCCGAGGGCTTGTAGCCCATGATAGCAGTGCCAGGATAGGAACACCTGGAGGATGGGGTAGAAATGACCACGGAGCCGTTAACCAAGTATCCTGAAGCAGGATCACCAGGATTTGGGGCCAGATTCAGCTTCTGAGGGAATCAAAGTCATGGCTGAGATGACATAAATCTGATCCAAATCTGAATGGTGGGGCAAGGATGGAAAATGACACTGGGTAGGGACGCCAAGAAACTAGGAAGTTGATGGTCTGGGTAGAGGGTCAGGACAGAGTTAGAGAATATGGTGTGTGCGTGCACACCCATGTAGGATGTGCCCACAGAGACACATGGGCAGGCTCTGTGGATCTGTGCCCAGGGGGACAGTCCTGCCCCGCCAGGCACTCTAGGCACTGGGCTATAAGCCACGTGCTACACTCAGTGCCTTACACGATAGCTCACTTAATCATCACAGCTACCACAAAAGACAGGTTCTATTATGTCAACCTAACAGTCAGTGAAACTGAGGTAGTGATGTTAGGTGACTTGCCCAAGGTCACTTAGAAAAGAAGTTGAGGGATGCCTGGGCGGCTCAGTGGTTCAGTGTCTGCCTTTGGTTCCGGTGGTGATCCCAGGGTCCTGGGATCAAGCCCCACATTAGGCTCCCTGCGAGGAGCCCGCTTCTCCCTCTGCCTGTGTCTCTGCCTCTCTCTGTGTGTCTCTCGTGAATAAATAAATAAAATCTTTAAAAAAGAAAGTTGAAAAGCAGAAACTTGAATTTAGATCTCTTTGCTGAGACTCTCACTCAAGATCCAAGTTTTCTAGGCTTAAAAAAAAAGAAGGAAAAAAACTTTTAAGCAACCTGGTTAAACCCAATATTTGCCAAACCCAATGCTCCGGTTGCAGTTAAGGGCTCAGATGATTACAACCTTGTACCGGCCTCAGGCCCCCAATTCCTGACCCACTGAAGCTAGGAGTGAATAAACATTGCCTCTTCTCACCTACTAGCCTTAGATGTTCGTCACCTAGAAGTTGATAACTGACACATTGCTCTTAGATTGAGCCCTGAGAAAGGAGGTGGGTATGGCTTGGAGTATGGAAAGCGCCAAGAAAGCCTGACGAAGAGATCAAGTACCAGAAACTGTCTTCTGGCTCAGGGGACTATGTGAAGACACAGAGAGAGTGAGGCAGGTTGGAAGACAAATGCACGTCCTAACCTCCTGCATCGGGGTGAAAGACCTGGCGATCCAAGTTCTTTCCAGTGGGTTGAGAAGGAGTAATGTTCCTGTTTGGGTGAAGAGGAGATGAATGTCCCAACCTGGGCTCTCGGCCCTCATGAAGTACAGAAAAGACCGAGACATTATCATGAAGGCCCTGCAGGAGGAAGGGGAGGTCACCAAGGGTCTGACTGGGTCGCTGCCAGAGGGCTCTCCCTGGGGCAGTGAGGCCGAATGACCCAAACCAGGGTCAAAAGGGAGTCACCCTCACATCTCAGGAGTACCAGGGCCAGCCAGGGCTGAGGAGGAGCCGCGCCAGCAGGGAGGACTGCTGAGCCCCAGGGAAGCAGTGAGAATGCAGCACAAGTTTCAGTGGTTATAACCATAGCACCCGAGCTCAATGTCAGCAGAAAGGCCAGGAATGGGAAAGATCCACCACACGCACCCAAGCAACCACCTCCGGAGTTCTATTGTGTCATAGGGCTTGAAGTGCTCAAAGTCACCCAGCCTCACAGCATCATCTTGGAGGGCAGGGGACTGGCCAGGAGAGCGGGAAAGAAAGGCTACAAGAGAGTGCCCTCCAGCCCCCAAAAAGTGAATGTTACTGAAAAGATGGCTTTGGGAACTGGATTGAATTCACTTTTTTCCCTCTACTATGCAGTGGGAGTCAGGAGAGGCTTGAAAGGAAAATCCCATCAGTTAGAGAAAACAGCGAAGCTTCAGTTTCTTGGCTTATCTCAATCGGGTGTGAGTAAACAGGTGATTCTAATTCAGATGCTACAAAAGTAGGTCCTAAAGATTTATGACATAGGTTCTGGGATGCCTGGGGGGCTCAGGGGTTGAGAGTCTGCCTTGGGCTCAGGGTGTGATCCCGGGGTCCTGGGATGGAGTCCTGCATTGGGCTCCCTATAGGGAGCCTGCTTCTCCCTCTGCCTGCGTCTCTGCCTCTCTCTCTGGGTCTCTCATGAATAAACAAAATCTTAAAAAAAAAAAAAAGAAAGAAAGAAAAAGAAAAGGTGGCATCAACTTTGCCCTATGCATTGCTTGCAAATGAGAACTTGAGGATCCATTTTAAAGGGTTGTCACCAAGCCATTGCCCTGACACACGTAGCTCAGAGAAGCGGCATGCAGGAATCAGTCACGGCACGTTTGTTCTGTAGGTCAGAAGCCAACCCCTGTTTTATTAAAATACGTATGGGGGATGGAGAAAGAAAAGGACCCCACTTTACTGTGGCCAGAGACACCAAAAGCCAAGGCCACATCCAAGCTCTGCTGCCTTGCTCTGTCCCACAGGCGGCTCTCAGGAACTTTGTCTGACCAGAGTCTTGGAAGAGACCTCATGAATCGCTCTTCTTGGCCAACCCTCTCGGCCAGAGCTGGCCATGACGTTCACACCAGTGAAGGGCAGGTGGGCCAGGCCACTGGGCTGGTGGATCGGGGCCTCTGCTATCTGCATGGTCTCCTTCGAGGAGACTCCGTTCTCGCACGCAGCCCTGGAGTCTTCCAAATGGTCTCCGCAGCCAGGGAGGCAGGGCCCTACCAGAAAGTGAGCTCTACGCACTCTCCACTGAGTTTCGATCCTGAAGTCCGAAGCCCCGGCCCAGCCCAAGTCACAGGAGGACCCGAACTTCAGGCTCACCCCGCCTCATGTGACACCTGTACCCACGGACGCGCGAGAAGTGTCTCCAGGGGTCCGAGGTCACTTCATGTTTCTCTCGATCCAGTCTTTAAAAGGCAGGACCTTGCTGAAGGCCGTGTACAGGCTGTGGCTGCATGCTTTGTCATAGCTCCAGCTGACCAGCCCCACCAGGTGCCAGCGTGGCTCAGGGGATGCCCGTCCCGGAAAGGCCACAGCGGCGATGCCTCCCGTCTGGGCCATGCAGATATCCGAAGGGGCGGCAGGGTCCCGGCTGGCACAGAACATGTTGTCCGTGATGCTCACGGGGATGCCGTGCTCTTCGTGCTGCTCCTCGCACAGCAGCGAGTCCACCACCCTGACCACCCCTGAGCGCAGCGTGTCGTTCTTGAAGCCGGGGCTTCTCGCATCTGCCAGAACATTCCAGCCGGCCACGGTGATGCGGGCCTCCTGGAAGGAGGTGCTCAGGTCCCGCGGGGCCGCCAGGCAGATCGGCTGGACGCGGGTGCTGACGCGAGCCTTGTCCAGCAGCTTCAGGATGGCGAGGTCCGTGTCCAGCAGGATGGGGTCGTAGTTGGGGTGCAGGATGATGGCCGAAATCTGCAAACGCAAGGAAGGGACAGCGTGGTGAGCCGCCGACCGCACAGCGAGCGAGACCCCCAGGGCCTGGGGCACGTGAGCGGGAGACAGCTGCGATTACCTGGGGATACTTGCCTCCTTCGGGGACCAGAGCCGCTTCGTTTCGGGGGCTTGGGAAATTCAATGCCCACCGCTGCCTGGCAGGCGGACTAACTAAGTGGGGTGCAGAGAACAGTGGCACATGCCCTACCCGCAGTGGGGAAGGTAGAGCTTAGCTGGTGCTCCAGCTGACTGCCGCCGGGCCAAGAGGCGGGCCGGCATCCTAACCCCGTCAGACAACAGCCTCCAGATCTCCATCTCAACCTGATTCTTAAACGTTGGCCAACGACTGCTTAGAAAAATGCATGTGATTGGGGCAGCCCCGGTGGTGCAGCGGTTTAGCGCTGCCTTTGGCCCCGGTTGTGATCCTGGAGACCCGGGATCGAGTCCCACATCGGGCTCTCTGCATGGAGCCTGCTTCTCCCTCTGCCTGTGTCTCTGCCTCTCTCTCTTGCTCTGTGTCTCTCATGAATAAATAAAATCTTTAAAAAAATTCTTTTTTAAATTTTTAAAAATTTTTATGAGCATGTGAGTGCTACGCAAACCCAAACCCTACAGGCCCCCGGGTGCACCCTCTGTGGCCCATGTTTCACTCATCAGTAAGCCAGCAAGACAGAGCCACACCCCGGATAGTCCACGGGACTTCTCCACGGTCTTTGCCACTTGTCCCAATCCTCGCTGATCCTTCTCTTTGATGGGGGCCTCTAGGAGCTTACATCCATGACACATCCTAACATTGTTACGTCCACGTTCTAGGTCTTCAACTATGTTTGGGCACACTTCCTCAGTGCCCCTCTTGTGTCAAAGCAATCACAATATACTAGGTTGTCTCTTCGACCAGGCTGGGCACTCTCCAGGGCCAAAGCCATGGCTCCCCCAGTTCTCTGTCTATTCCCTGTGAATGGCATACTGGAGGTGCTCAACAATGAACGGATAGATGAACAGATGGACAGATAGAGAGGTAGGTGGGTAGGTGGATGGAAGAGAGGGATGGAGAGGGATAGGCAGAGAGAGAAGAATATTATGAATTGATCAGGAGTATCTTGGATAAAACCTTTCTATGTCTCAGAGCCGACCTCGTACCATGCCCTCCACATACTAGGTCACTAACATTTGATGACCTCCATGATAGATGATATTTGTTACAACATTATTTTGAAAGCAAAAGGAAAAAAGACTCCATCGTCTTTCTAGATGCCCATTCCAAGTAACTGTCTGCATGAAATACTGGGTACCCACTCCCTGCCAGGCTCTGGGAAGGGGTGCTAAGGTGTCCAGGTGTCAGGGCTGACACAGCCATGCCCTCCTGGTGCTGGGAGTCTGCTGAGCCAAGAGCGAGTCTCCAGCTTACTGCCCTCTCTCACCCGCAAGCTCTGGACGGTCTTCTCATCTCGGTCATCATCGCGGTAGAACTTCCCCAGGACCACTTTGAGGTCTGCTGTCTTGATCATGGTGACCTTCTCCAGGTCAGTTACGCAGTGGGCAGCCGCCACCACGGTGCGCTCGTTCACCAGGGCGCCACTGCAGACCAGGAGCCACGCGTTCTTGCGCACGCTGCCACCGTGCTCCCCGCTGGCCCTCCGGTAGATGGCCGCCTGCCACGGCCAGCGCAGCCCCTGGCTCTTTGGAGTGGTGACGTTCTCTGTTTTCCCGCAGACTGTGGAGAAAGCATCAGCTCAGTAAGATAAACTCAGAGCTTCCCATCCAAAGGGGGGATGTGTTGCTCAACCAAAAGAACACACTTCTGGAAAGGGAGACCTCATGGTGTGATGACCATTAAGCATCTAAGCTGTTCTTCTTCTCCCATGAAATAGTAATCAACCCTTTGACATGACTGGTTATAAAGTCTGGGGTTAAGATCGAAAGCTTGGGGTCCCAGGCACTTACTAGCAAAAAGACATTAGGCAAATTGCCAAATCCCTTAAAGCCTCAGTCTTCTTGCCTGAAAAATGAATACAGTAATGACACTTGTCTCATAAGGTTCTTGAGGAGACTGGATGATGAGGTATGTAAACAGCCAGATTCAAAATGTCATGACGATCATTATGAACTTGACCACAAAGAATTAAGCCATACTGTTCTCCTTTGACAAAGAGCGCAGGGAGGTTAGAGCTTACTACGTGCAAGATCCTTTTCCAGATACTTCCATATGCTACCTCAGTAAGCAGCACCATAATCTTATAGGTATTTAATACTTCATCACCTAATTAATAAAAATGACCTATTCAATACCATTGGATGATAAGCATGAAAACGGGTTGGGACAGGGTATCTAAGGTGACGTATGTAGAAGCCTTCTGGTATCACTAACCCCTCCCTCACTTGGCGCTTAATGACGGTCCTCTCCCTTTCCTCCAAGTAAACAGGATGCTATTATCCCTGAGGAAGTGTGCCCCCTCCAAAAAAACTCATCGAAGACCTGATGAGCTAGTCTCTCCCGAGTTAGAAGCCCAAGGAAGGAAGCTCCAACTGGGGCACATCAGACATCAACAAGCTAGAGAGTCAACTGGAGGACCACCGGACAAGGACCCTTTTCTTTTCTTTTTTTTTTTTATAATTAATTTTTATTGGTGTTCAATTTACCAACATACAGAATAACACCCAGTGCTCATCCCGTCAAGTGTCCCCCTCCGTGCCCGTCACCCATTCACCCCCACCCCCCGCCCTCCTCCCCTTCCACCAACCCTAGTTCATTTCCCAGAGTTAGAAGTCTTTATGTTCTGTGTCCCTTTCTGATATCTCCCACACATTTCTTCTCCCTTCCCTTATATTCCCCTTCACTATTATTCATATTCCCCAAATGAGTGAGAACATACACTGTTTGTCCTTTTTCAAAAAGTCTTCAACACGGTTGATGGCTTTTCACAAGCAGCCAAGGAAGACAGAAGCCGCCTAACCACCACCCCCCTCCGCCCCAAGGCCTGACTCCTGACTCACTAGGAACGCAGGACGGGGCACGTCCACTCCACTTCCCGGTCCTCAGGCACGTCCTGCGGCTGCTGCCCAGGCGGCGGTAGAAAGGCGAGATGCACTCGTACTGGAGCTGGGTGTGCAGGTGTTGGAACCCAGGGGGCAGGTCTCCAAAGGGAAGGGCCGGCTTCTTGGTGGGGGCGCCCTGCAGCTTCTGTTTGTTGAAGGGGGCCGAGTAGAGCTGGTGTAACGGTGTCTCCCTGCATGGGGCCCCAGGCCCAGAGAGAGTGGGGCGAGACACAGTCATTGTGGCCTCCGTAGTACACGTGCCAACCCACACCGGGCATTTGGTCACAGCAGAAAAAACTATGGCTATCCCATTCTCTGTGTGTCTTTCTCCCTGCTGCCCCCCTCCCCTGCGCCCTCCGCCCACACGCACTTCCCCTCTACCAAGAGCAAATTCTCTTGCACACCCCAACCTTCACTCTGTTCCTCCATTTCCATTTCTGGCATGCCTCCAGCTGCCTAGGATTTTTAACCAGAGGATAATATCTGGCATAATAGCTGCTATCCAAGGGTACGCTCTACATGCACACAGAGAAAAATTAACTGTGAAATTAAACAAGAAAGGAAGTTCACTTGAACCAAGGCGTCTTTCTTTTTTTTTCCTCCAAACATTATCATAATGGGGCAATATTAGGAATTGACTTGAACTAAACTGTGTTGATACAGTAGCTTGATTTAGCAATCAGCGTATATAATTAGTACACCTCAGAGAATAGAACTTTCTCAGGGCACAGTGATTGGCAGAAATAGAGAGCATTGTGTGTAAATGTGAAAAAGCCTTTTAAATGAGCACTTGAAGCTGAAGCCCCCTCCCCACCCCGGAGACCACTCAGGGATTCTTGGGAGAAGATGTACACACATTGGACAGCCCGCGCTCGTCTTACATCAGCGCATAACGGCCACTAACTGAGAAGTTAGAATTCCTTTAGGAAACAATGTGTTCATCTCTGTTTAATGAACAGGGAAAGGAAGCCCAGAGGGGGAGGTGGGAGTACAGAAGCGCACACAGGAAGCCAAGGCGGTACCCACGGCGGCACTTAGCAATTATGATTCCCAACCTGCGTCTCTACTGTGCCGTCGGATGTCATCTTAAGAAACCTATTTCATGTGTCTGTACAGCGCTTCACTCAGAGCAAATATTCCATCCACAGTGATTTCATTCAGTGAGTCTTTAGTTCATGTTTAGAACAAGGAGCAGTTCAAGGAGCTTCTGAGCTGGCAACCCAGCTCATCTTTTGGTCCATCTGTTGGAAAGACTACACTGCTTTTGGGGTTCTTGGGTGACCGGGCTGCTAGAGCTAGGTAAATCCATACTCCAGCAGCCTATCTTCCAGAAAGATCCCTAAAATCAAGTTTTAGGCTCTCCTTTTCATCTGCATGAGCCACCTGGCACCTCACCACCTGACCTCCCATTATCATTGCTTTAAAAATGCAAAGCCTTTCTGACATTGGGAAATATCAGAAAGGGAGACAGACCATGAGAGACTCCTAACTCAGGTAAATGAACAAGGGGTGATAGAAAGGGAGATGGGCTTGGGGTGGGGGTGACTGGGTGACAGGCACTGAGGGGGCACTTGATGGGATGAGCACTGGGTGTTATGCTAGATGTTGGCAAATTGAACGCCAATAAAAAATAAATAAATAAACAAAAATGCAAAGCCACCGTGGCCTTTTTTAAATAGTTCAGGGTCTCATCTGGAAGATGTTTCCTTGGAAAGAACAGGTTTATCCCACTGAGGGGAGAGTCCAGCTCCAGATAAATCATAAAGTCAGGAAAAGATGGGATTTATATTTTACTGCCACTGCTCCCAAGGAAAGGGACAGACAGAGATAGAAGGAAATATCCAGAGGAAAGATTGATGAATATCCAGTTTTATGAGTATTTCAGGTCACTGGGCTGGGGTCAGTTCTAGGCACCGGGATTCACTGTCACCATTCCTGAAAGCAGTAGCTGCCACCAACAGCTGTTCCCTTGTGCAAGTGTTCTGCTAAAGCCTTTACATAGGGCTTGGCTGCAGCTTAGGGCATAAGGGAGCAGACCCTAAAGACCCCGAAGACTATGAAGATCTTGGATTGGCACCCCGGATCCACATTTTGCAACATAGCCTGGGGGTGCATTAATTCATTTATCTGAGGCTCAGTTTACCTATCTGTAATAAAATTGCTAATAAAACCTATAAGAAAGTGGCAATAATAGTACTACCCAGCTCAGAGGTTGTAGGAAAGACTAAATGAGCTACCACATGGAAAGCACTCAGAAGAGTAACTGGCAAGGAGCGCGAACACTCAACAAATGCTAGCTCCTTGCGCTGCACCTAACACACACAGCAATCCCCAGAGACAGGCTTTATTATAATTGTCCTTATTTTTCAAAAGAAGAGACTTAAAGGCTTAGCAAATTCAGGAACTTGCCCAAGAATACAAAATACAGCGCTAAAGAGAGACCGACCCAGGTCTCGAGCCATTCTTTGTCAATCCCGTTCATTCATTCATGCAATGTTTGGAGTGGTCACATTTTTGTGGGGTGCCTCCCCTGCAGCAAGCATCGTCCTTGGCACCAGAACGTGAATGTGAACAAAACAGATAATGTTCCTGCACCTTTATAACTTATAAAGGTATTATAACTTATAACCTTTATAACTTATTTCTGTGGGGTTAGGTGGAGATAGAAATCGAACAAATGAAAAAAATGTACATAAGACAACAGGTAGGGCTGGGAGCTAAGCTGAAATCTGAGGCACAGCAGGTGCTGGAGAGCAAAGAAGTCAGCTCTGAGGTCAGGATGGAGGGGGGTCACTATTCTTTTTATTGATTGCTTCCTTGAGGTTGGTGGCTTTGTTTTTATATAAAGTGTAAAAGAAGAAAACATTAAACAGTACTATCACTTGCGGGGGGTGGTTCTTATTTTCAGAAGGATAATCAGGGGAGGTTAAAACTGAGCAGGGAGCTGATGGAAGCGAAGCCATAAACCTCACGGACGTCCAGTGGAGGCAGGGTCCAGACAGAAGGACAGAGGCTCTCAGGCAGTGCTGTGTGGAGGGGTAGGGAAGAGCCAGGTGGCCCGTGTGGCCAGAGTGGAGGGTGAGGAGAACAGTAGGAGATGAGGTGAGAACAGTTTTTCCTACAAAATGAGGAGAGAAGGGGGAGACATGGGCTGATTCTCGCCAACCGGTGGTCCCCACCTCTGTCTTCCCAGGAGGAAGGCTGGGAAGGTATATCTGAGGGCTCACATCCCTCATCAGAGCTGGCCATTTATCCCTAATTCCTGGGTGCCAGTGGCCTGCCTCCTCTGGTTGATTGCCACCAAGAAAATCTTCCGGAGCCATAGCTGGTTGCATGTGGCAGGAAAATCATCCGCCTAGAAGCTGCCCTAGTCAACACACGGCAACTTCAAGAAGACTCAAGTATTAAAAGCCAGCTCCTCAGAGATCATCTTCAAGTCTTGCTTCCTACCAACCACCTATTTTCCCACGATCCAGTGAACCGAGTACATGTTCCAGCAGCTGCTACCTCTTGGCCAGAGGCAGCTGGCTAATCAGCCTCCCTCTAACAGGCCCTATTCTTTCATGAGCAGTCAGCACTGAGTGTCCCTAAGAAACCCCAGACTGTCCTTGGCCACACACAAGTGAGGAAAAGGGGCGGGAGGGGAAACATGCATTTGCCTTTAAAGCAGAGCTCAGGTGTTTGGACCTCACCTTGATTGAACCTGCATGGGAAGGACTCTGCGTCTCACCAGGTCTGAGACCTTTGGTTCTCGGCAGGCTAGAATGAAGGAGACAAGAGGGCATTATCTTTTCCCATATTAACTGCTCACGTTCATTCAGTTCAGAGTCATCCCTGACCTCCCTCCCTGGACACCCCCGAGGTCTCAGAGAAGAGATGGGTCAGGTGATACACTGGCAGTCATTAGATTAGGACGGTCTGTTCACACGAATAGCATCAGTGAACTTGACGGAACATGGAGTGAAAGTCAAAATGAAAGTTCTAAAATAAAGCCCAAGGCAGGGAACTACAGGGCTCTCATTTAAAACCAGATTGCAGTGTCAACCATGGGTAAGGGTTGGGGAGCTGATTCTTCTACGTCCTTTCTCTGAAACGGAGGCTCCTAATGATCATTTGAGGGCACCTCAAAGCCCAGGCTTAATTTTGCTGAAGCGTCTCTTTCTTCACTTTCCCAATCAAGCAGCCAACATTCATCTAATTAGCAAACTAGAGAGCTTTGGTTGTTATTAATTTGTAAGAGAAGAATTGACAAAAATCTCCAAGGACATATGTAACACCGTTTCCATACTTAATGAAATCAAGAATCAGAGTCTGTGCTGGTGGGGATGAAGGTCGCTTCTGGCTAAAGTCTAAAGTGATTTATTCCTTTCACAAACCATTCTCTTTTATTTCTTTTCCCATGAGTTGGGTTGTTGACAAACACCCAGAAGGGAAAGTGAAGGATTAAAGCAATTATCTGGATAATCTAGGCCAAGGACATACTTTTCTTCCTAGGAAACAGCCAGATAATTGTGACCTGCCCCTAAAATATAGGGGCTATTGACCTGGTTCAGTAAGAAACCAGGCATCCCCACTGCCAGGGGTAAGTTTCAAGCTGCTCTATACAATGTTCCATGTTTTCTGGTTCCAAACCAAGCTTTTCAATCTACCTCTCAGATTCCCAGTTGGCCCCACTTTGAGTTTACCATGGTCCTTTCACTTCTGCCAACACCTTCTTGTTTTCCTTTGTCTTATAACTGGAATATCGTCCCAACTGCTCTGCACCTCTGCCAACCCTTCCCAGGCTCCTCGATTGGCTCGCCTCCTACCTGCTACAGACAACTGTCCCTTTTCCAAGGAATATTGATCGTTTCTTTCTCTGAACATACACTGCTCATCCATTTCCTCTAACTCTGCCTTGAATGCGGGAGGTCTTGCCATCTTGTCAAGACGTTTTTCATTATGTTAACATCTCCGACCTCCCACCATACAGGCTGGCAGGGACAGTGTGTCTATTTTGTTCTTTTATTTCCTACACCAACCTCATATTTCATAGAGAGTAGATAAATGTAGCTATCTCAAAGCCCAACGATTGCCTCAATTTTGTTGTCGTCTTTCCTAAAGTGCTCTGATAACTTTAGAACTCCTCTTGATCACAGCGAGAAGCTGTGATTAGGATAAGCAGGTGCTCTGGAGGTCCAAAAAAAGAAGCATATGTTTTCAGGAATGGCTTCAACCTAGGAGTTACAGATGGTTCCAGTGAGAACTGAAGGGGGAAAGGCATTGTTTTCAGGGGCTCTCAAACATGTCTAGAAGCTACCAAAAGGTCCAGCAACTCCGTCTCTTTCTGTGGACTTCACAAATACTTGTAAGCTACCTTTTATGCAAATAGGCTGTTTCCCCGACCACTCTCCATTCTGCTGGCAAGTTCTCTTCTCATTGCCACTAAGAACGTATGAGTTATTACAAAAGAAGGTCACAATGGTGCCAATTTTCGCATGGCGCCCATTGATAAGCCCAGGGCCTCCGGTTATCTTCTTGTACCCATTGACTGGGCCCCCAGGGTCTGAGCAGTTACTTTCTTCAAGGACTGAAAGAAAAAAGAAAAGGAAGAGAAAAAGAGCTATTAAAAGTGTGAAGCATTCCATTTTAGAACCGGATCTTTTCATGTTTCACTGAACTAAAAATGTAGTGATGTGGAGCCTGCTAACGATGGTACCCAGAGGAATCACCAGGAGAAAACTCATAATAGAAAATGCGTGTGTTAGACATGCCTTCCCCTTGTTTTAACGATCTATTCTTAAATCGAGAAGTATTTCATTCCATATTCCATATTCCATAAATAAATTTGACACAACTAGCTCTCTTGTGATCTCATTCATTTCTTTCTCAAGCTGTGGGAGCTGGGCAGGCCTGGACAACATAAACATTGCACCTCGATTTTATGATCAGTACACAGGGATGATTGTTTGCCAGTGTCGTTGTATTATCTCTGCATTCCCTAAAGAGTGGGCAATTAAACAAGACTCTTTAGTTTCCTATTTGTGTTGTACCCAGAAAGTAGAACTTATTAGAAACAAGGCTGCACATATGAAATGAATTTAGATTTTATATTTCATCTTCAAGGACACAAGTGTGTTGAAAGGTAGAGTTCAAAAATACTAGAAGAGGATATAAAGTCAGAGGTACAACAAAGTTCCCCTGATCTCCAATATATGCTTTCCATCTAAACATTTAACAATATCCATTACAAAGGCATTTCTTTCTGGGGCACCTGGGTGGCTCAGTCAGTTAAGTGTCTGCCTTCAGCTCACATCATGATCCGAGGGTCCTGGGATCGAGCCCTACATCAGGTTCCCTGCTTGGTGGGAAGCCTGCTTCTCCCTGTCTTGCTACAGTTCCTCCTGCTTGTGCACACTTGCTTGTCTCTCTCTTTCTGTGTCAAATAAATAACATTTTTTTAAAAAAAAGCATTTCTTTTTAAATTAATTATCTTTAAAAAAGATTATTTATTTATTTATTTATTTATTTATTTATTTGACAGAGAGAGAGAGAATGAGAGAACAAGCAGGGGGAGCAGCAGGCAGAGGGAGAGGGAGAAGCAGGCTCCTCAATGAGCAGGGAGCCTCATGTGGGGCTCAATCCTAGGAGACTTGGATCATGACCTGAGCAGATGCTTAACTACTAAGCCACCCAGGCACCCCACATTTAAAAAAAAAAGATATACTTATTTTAGAGAAAGAGAACATGCATGCGAGAAGAGAGAGGGGCAGAGGGAGAGAGAGTATCTCAAGCAGACTCCATGCTCAGCACAGAGTCCAACATGGGTCTTGACCTCATGACCCTGAGATCATGACCTGTGGCAAAACCAAGAGTTGGTGGCTTAACTGAGGCACTCAGATACCCCGGGGACTACCTTCTTAGAGTTAGAGATTCACTAAATGCTAAACATATGGCCCAGAAACAACCAGCAGGAGCCCACAGGCTGCAATCATCTCAAAAACATGGTGTGTCATGCCTGCGAGTTTGAGAAAATGGAATTCACTGCCAACACAAAAATCAGGAGACAGCACACAAAAATCCATATTACTGGCTTCTGATAAAATTCAGACCTGGAAATCCTGGGCCTGTATTACCACATGGCAACAATCCGCTAGCATAGAGAAGAAGCTGTCTGCTTAGGTGGGGGCTGCATGCTTCCCTGCCTGGCCCTAGCAGGGCTAGACTCTGTGGTCATTTTTCCTGTCAAAGAGCTAGGCTTTGTGCAAAGAGCTATGCTTTTTTGCAATGCAACCCCCTTCCTCCTTCATTTTGAGTTTTCCTTGCTAGAGCTCATGGCCAATAGAAATTCTGGGGATACTTAAGGCCAGTCCTGGAATACTGAAAGAATATGAACTATACTCCAGCCACATCAGCCTCAGAAGAAAAGAAATCCCTTCTACTGTGAGCCTGAGAGGTAGGTTTTCCTCCTTTGGGAAATAAGGACTTCCGTGGTCCACCAGGCTCCTGCCCCCTGATTTCCTAAGTTCAGGATTCTCCTGGATCATATTCCTAACTACATTTAACATGGGTTTAACCAGCAGGAATGCTGGAGAGTTCTTGAGCCTTTGGAAAGAACAATGTCTTGGGACAATTCAAGTTATTGGTCTTTCTCCCTGAAGAGGTTTTAAAAGGAAACTTAAAGAGAAACTAAGTCAGGATATTCAAACAAGTCTGCCCAAGGCTGAGGAATTCTGCTATATTTTTAGAATTTTCAGATGCCTACTCCTTTATAATGTGACATGCCTGAGATCAGGTCACATGTGTATGTTTCATGTAGTACGTCTTCCAACTCTCAGAGAAGCTGTAATTAAATCAACGCTGCAGCTTAAACTTGATGAGATCTTAGAATGGAACTATTATTTGATTTTAAGTTATTGCTCACAGACGGTCACCAGAATAGAGCTTTCTAGTGCCGGATGATGCTTTCAAGTAAGGGTTCAATGGAACATAAGTATATGGCTGGGGATGCCTGGCTGGCTCACTCCGTAGAGCATGCATGCAGGGTTGTAAATTCGAGCCCCACACTAAGTTAGAGATTACTTAAAAACAAAATCTTAAAAAAAAAAAAAACCCACAGAACTATGTGGCTAAAATTCAAGGGAAATATAGGCGATAGAAACAGATTTAGGAAGGATTTGGATGCTGTCGTTGTCAGACACTACTTGAAAATAAACATGCTGAGTATGCTCAAGGAAATAAAACAGAAAGTTGAGAGCCACAGTAGAAGACTGGAAACCTAAGAAACTAAGCAAAGGAGAAATCTAGAACCGAAAAGTGACAATGACAAAAACACGCAAAGCTCAGTGGGTGAGTTTAATAGCAAATCAGATACAGCTAATGTGAATTAATAAACTGAAAGATAACTTCTAAGAGAGAATTCAGCTCAAGAGTCAAAAAAAAGTGGAAAACATACAGGAAAATGTAAGGAAACAGTGAGAAGGTTAATAAAGACATGTACCTGACATCGAAGGAGAAAATAGAGTAAAACCAGCATATAGAGATAAAGGCTGAGAAAGTCCCCCAAACTGATAAGAGATATCAACCTACAGATTGACAAAGTCCTAAGACAGATAAATATGAAGAAAACCACAAACAGACCTATTATGCAAAACTGCTAAAAAACAAATCAGTGAAAAAATTTTAAGCAGCCAAAGGGGGAAAAAATGGACAGGAAAAACATACTTTAAAATAATTATAGTCATTATCTCTGGCTTGTAACATCCAAAATGATTTTTGCTTCTTTATACTTTTTTCCTATGTTTGATCATCAGAACATATAACCATAAAATTTTGTTGTTTATTATTTTTTGGTTTTCGTTATTTTCATTTTTTAAAGTAGCAGGCAAATGGTTTGGGTCCTCCCTGCTCAGCCTATAAACCGAGCATTCAGTCTGTCATGCATTGTTTTATGGTTCCCATACTCTACACTCCGTGTAAATCTCATTACCATCTCGCATAATCATAGAGTAATCCAGCTTCCCTGGAGCTCAAATTTAAATGAGCTTTGTCACCAGACTCTAGGGGGGAAAAGAATGGTCTCCAGAATCAGGCAGCTAAGGTTTAAATAATTATTTGGTTCCCCAGTATCCAAAGTAAGTACACAGCAGGTCCTCAATAAATATTTGTTAGTAGATGGAAGGGATAAAAGGGTTCAATTTATTCATTCTTCCACTTAAAGAACTAGAGCGTGGGAAAATTATATAATTCTCCAAACCTTGCTTCTCTGGTCTGTAAAACAGGATAATAACACTTATCTGGCTGGGCTGGTTTTGAGGAACAATTTACAAAACACGTTGCCTCTTTTTCCACCTTTTGCCTTTATTTACAAAGCACCCAACTTCTTTTAAAAGTCAATGCCTCAGGGTGCCTGGGAGGCTCGGTGTTAGGTGTCCTACTCTTGATTTCAGCTCAGGTCATGATCTCGAGTTAGGGTTGGAGCCATCTTGGGATGGAGCCCTGGATTGGGCTCCCCTTTCAGCACTGAGTCTGCTTGAGGACTTCTCTCCCTCTCTCTCTCTCTCTCTCTCTCTCTCTGCTCCCCTCCCCCCACTCACACCCTCTATCTAAAATAAAATTATACAAACTTTTAAAAAATATCAACTCCCCAAGTTCATACACCTTAAAGAAAACCCCACAGGAAATCTAAAGGACTATTACTGGGTCTATTTGAATATAAAGCAATATTCCACTCTACTTTCTGGCCTCTTGGTAATGTCTGTGCATGATGGGCTTCCAGCCCTGGGTTCAGTGTGTTGACTCAGACTTCTGGGTATCAGCCATGGTCTCTGTACACTCATGTCTTTTAATCCTGCGACATGAGCCTTAAATTGTAGTCTTGTGTCAAACATCTACTGGGCATCATTCTCTCTTCCCTCTCATTTATTTCCTCTACTTTCCAATGGTGAACACTCTCCGAGGATGCTTTTGAAGAGAATTCTAAGACTACCTCCACCCATCTCTCTCTCCCAGTTTAGACATCTACCTGTTGGGTCCACAGACCATCTGCATCTCATCAGAGCACCTCCCCAGGATTACATTTCAAAAATGATCTTTTTATGTCCCCTATGGGTTCTCTTTTTACAATCCTTTGAATCTCCTGATTGAACAGATCCTTGATCCTTTTCTATTTGATTTTTAAAGGGCTCTGTGCTTCCTTTTCTCCTCAATGGGATGGATGTTTTCACACAGAGCCAAATGAGAATGTAAAACATCTGCATCCCTGGCCTGCAGAAGCATCAGGCTCCTGTTTTGCTAAGTACAATATTCCCTGATTGATAATAACTAGCACATTGCCCTGTTACTTTTGGGACCCAACTGGGGGGCATGTACACATTAAGTTTAGCATGCCCTGACATGCCGTTTCATGAACAAAAACAGCACTTGGGGTGCATTTCTGTTTCAGATAAACATTTAAAGAAAGACTCTCTAGCCTCATCTTCTTTATTCTCAAGGCAACAGTCTGAGTTGTTCACCATGATGCCTCCTTACCAAAGCACCTATGATGGCTTTGAGATAGCCCTTGCAGTGAATGCTACTGGTACCCCACCC